CTCATAATTGATGTTTCTATCTCTCTCTCTCCCTCTCCCATCTTCTCTGAAATCAATAAAAATATACATTAAAAAATTGACAGATTCTGTATATTTTGAAGGTCCAGCCACCAGGATTTGCTGATGGATTTCATGTACAATGTAAACAAAAGAGAAGAGTCAGTGGTGACTGGAAGATGTTTGCCTGAGCTCCTGGGAGGGAGGACTTGTCATTGAGTGGGACAGAAAAGACAGGGAGGCTCAGGTGTGGGTAGGAAGGGTCAGGAGCTTGTTTTTGGATGTGTGAAATGTGGGGTGCCTACGAGATATCAGAGTGGAGATGCCAGGTAGGCAGACAAACCTAGAGTTCAGTTCTGAAGTCTACACAGGACATAGAGATTTGAGGCTGGTGGTGACTCTACCTCCTTTGGTGATCATCACTGGGCTCAAATGGTTGTTTTTGAAGTTGACTATGAACCCAACTGGCAGCCTCATAGGATTCCTGTCTTGGTCTTCAGCAATCAGTTAGACTTCCTTTGGCAGGGCAATAGTACCCACTTCTTCTCAGCTCCCAAATTCTCAGACATAGGGCTTTTGCTCATATCACTGTTTCTCCTTTACTTACTCCTTTCAGTCTCTTGTCCTCAGACTTGTCTTGTAGGAGCTTCCCACAGGACTGTTGACACCTCTGAGAGGTATCTTAACTCCCCACCACCCCTTCTGCAGAGTCAGCATCCCACTGACCTCTGCCGCCGGCCTTTCAACATTGAAGCCAGGGACACTCCGGGAGGCAGAAGCCAAGATGAGCAAACACTGTTCTTGTGCAATGCGGGGCGCAATCCAAAGATCGGGTTCCATTCTGGGATGCTGTAGCAGGGGTGGACCAGCCTCCCTTCCTGCCACGCTCCTGGGAGGGGATGACTTGGGGGACTCACTGTCTCACAAAGAAGCACAGAAGCAAGTGAGCACAGATCTCCTCAGATCAAGCATCATTTGGGTTCAGCCCCAGTTAGCAATACTACTCACCTCCCCTGAACTAGGCTATAGGAGACCCCTGCAGGCCAGCCTCCTGGCATCAGAAAGCAACACGCCTTTTCCAGCAGATGGATGTACTTGGAGGCATATCAGGAAAGGACCTGAATCTGCAACTTCTCTCATACTTGAAACTGCTGAATCTCCATGTTTTATGTGAGCCATTCTCCAAGAAGTCCCGGGTTTCCAAAGAGGAACACGGTGTGTCTGACTTGAGCATTTGGCCCTTGGAAGCACACAATTTCTCCAGACTGTAAACAGTGATCTAAAGCAGCCTGGGCTGCTCACACCTGCCTCCAGCGAGCTGCAGAACAAGCAGCTGGATGATTCTGTCTGAACCAAGTATGTGCTGCTGAAGCATCGCCTCCGTGAGACACACGAGCAGCGGCTTCCCCACCAACTCCACTTCTTCTCTGACTGAGAAGCCTGGGTCTTGCCACGTTGTTCCCCTGTACTTTAAAAGGACTTATCAAAAGTTCTGCTTCTCTCTTGAACAATTTGAACCCCAGCCTCCTGAGAGTTTATCTTTGTCTTTATAAAACGCTTACATTCTTTCCTCTTTTTCTCAGAGCATCTTAGGACCAAGCATTTACTCACTTCCGAGGTACACAAAGCAGAATTTGGTTTGGTACGGAAACTCTGATTTGCCCACGCTTCTAAGATAAGAGGGGGCAGAATGGTGTGGTGGGAACTTGGTGGGCTGAGAAGTGGGAAAGTGGAGTTTCAGATTGACTCTGGGGTCTGTGGCAGATTCCTAACACCACTGCAGCTCTCTGCAGCAAATTCAGATGCCCCCCTCTCCCCTAGATAAGTAAGGGCCCAGGGATGTGCTGAATTGCCTGCCCCACTCTGACCACACAAACACTTCTCCTATCTCCATTCTCTCGTAGCTATGGTCTTTCTAGTCCTGATGGTCTGCATTCTAAGTGCTGGGTGGTACAGCATTATTCTCAAGAACCAAGATATGAAAACAACCTACGAGTCCATCAGTGGAAGAATGGATAAGGAGGATATGGTACATACATCCAACAGAATATCACTCAGCCACGAGAAAGAAGGAAATCCTGCAATTTGTGACAACATGGATGGATGGAGGACATTATAAGGAACATTAAGGGAAATAAGTCAGATTGAGAAACATAAGTACTGCATGGTGTTGCTTACATGTGGAATCTAAAAATAGTCAACTCATAAAAATGAGTAGAAAAGTGATTGGCAGAGTCTAGGGTGTAGGGGAAATAAGGGTAAAGGGGTACTAAATTTCAGCTATAAGATGAATAAGATCTGAGGTTTTAATGTAAAATATGGTGACTATAGTTGATCATACTGTATTGTATAATTGAGCTTTGCTAAGAGAGTAGAACTTAAATATTTTCATCAATTAAATTAGTAATAAATGTCATGTGGAGTAGCATCTAAAGCAAAGATCTCCAACACCTTCTTACTCCAAGGTCCTGCATTCTCTCTCTCTTTGCTACGCCTCCAGATGAGCCCTGGCTCAGCTTCATCCACCTCTGAGAATCTGTGAGAGAACATTCTTTCGATGCAAATGGATTTGGAGGAAGATGGGCATATGTGAGAGGAACCTATTCCATCAACATGACTTCAATCCACAGAGCAAACACAGAGAGGTGCTCAATGCCAGGCTGGTACCATTCCTGAGGCCAGAGTATGGCCAGCAAAAATAAATAATCAAAATGAAAAATTATAGCAAGGGAGCTCCATGCATTGAAGAAATATTCATTAAGTGCCCATTGAAATGAACAAAACAGACAAGAGTCCATGGAGCTTAGGTTCTTGTGGGAGAGAGAGGTATTAAACCAATAAGCAGAGAAAGCATATGTCAGATGGTGATGAGTAGTGGAGAGGAAAATAACGTAGGGGATTATCAGGGAAGATTTCAGCAGGAGGGTGAATTTAAGTCCAAGATGGAAAGGAAGGGAGAACTCCTGGGTGCCAGCTGCCCTGTGTGAACACCGATGGCTGGGCAGCTGGGATGAGAGTAGGGCTCTTTGTGCACTGATGTATGGCCCCTCATACCTGGGCCAGCTGTCTCTCTAACAGTTTGGGAAATTGTAATAAAACTGAGCTTATGAGGGACACTGGCTTACAGCCACATGCCATTTGGGCACATGTGGGGTTTGGCTTGGTCAATACATTAAGAAAACTGTCACAGTCTTCCATTCGGTGACTGTCCAATTTGCCCAGACTCTGCATTCCCTGTAATCCTATACCCATGATGTCACATGTTTATGTAGCATGCCTGACCTCTGCAGGCTTCCAAGTTCACAACTCGTCATAGTTCTCAGTGGCCCACTGACTTTCTGTGGACCAGCTGTGTGAGAATTACTCAGTAACGGATTAAAACTATGGATTTGGGGGGCCACCCCCAGAGTCAGATTTAGTGAGTCTGGAGTAAAAATCCATGCTGGGTATGCTGTAATGTAATACAATTGGTTCATACCTCTTGTACCCACTCCCTTAGGTGATCCTGTCCCACAACAGCTCTGGGCTTGTCCATGTGACTTACCATTAGGGCCTCAGTAAATGTGACACAAGAAGAGACTTGAAAGGAAACCCCCGCCTCCAGCTGCTCCTGGATTCTCTGTGGCTTCATGTGAATGAGCCTGAGTTGGCCCGCTGGAAGAAGAGAGACTTGTGGCCTAATTGCATTGGGCACCCCAGTTGATAGCCTGCCAATCACCAGCCATGTGAAGGAGGCCATTCTAGACCATAGTGCCTATGTAATCCTACCAAGATCAGATGAGCAGATTCAGAGCAAATCACCCCCCTACAGAATCATAAGCTAAATAAATGGCTGATGTTTTAAGCCACTAAGTTTTGAAGCATTTGTTACACAGCCAAAGCTAACTGATACAGAACTCAAAATTCTATCATTTTTGTAAACCCTCCAGGCATATCTCTGATGGCGCAGTCAGGTATGGCAAACCATGATGCATTGACTTGCATCACCATCACCTCTTACTACCTTTTCCTCCAGATGTCACAGCTGTGGCCTTGCTGAGGAAGTGGAGCATGGTGAGGGAAGACACCAGTGGGACCCTTCAAGAAGGAAGACTCGTGCTCAGTTCCCAGAGGTCTCGCCTGGAATGTTGGTCTGGCCCAGGGACTGGCAGAAAGGTTTGGCATTTTTCATATGAACTCCAGGGAGAGATGATAACTGGCGAGCAGTCAGGAAAAATAACCACAGAATAGTTTCGTGTTGGATGTGGACAAGTAGAAGGTATAGACTTGTGATATTCATGTTTTCTGTCTTCTTGGAAACCCAAGCCTGAGGGAGGATATATCAGAAGGACAGAGGGCCTTCAAGGAGAAGGCTGGCCTTGAAGGAGAAGGCTGGCAGCCAAGTGAGGACCTGGGTTCTCCCAGGCCAACAGCAGAGATGAGTGTGTGGGAGGGAGAGGGAAGGACAGCAGCCAGAGAGTGACCATGACCCTACTCCTGACCTCCACAGACTCAGTGGGAAAATATCACTCTCACTTTTCAAAATTGGAAAATGAAACACATCCAAAATCTTGGGAAGAAAAATCCTTTCCAGCAGCAGTCAAAATCATTTTCCTGGACAAGACCCTAAACACAGGACTAAGTATGTAAAACATGTGAACCAGGGAACTGGGCAGAGCAGGCCACTGAGGGCACCTCCTAGTCCTGCCTTCAGGCCAATCTCACCTCAGCCTCGCGTAGCTGCAGACACTCGAGGGCAGGGCTGCCTCAGGCTGCCTCAGTGTTCTTTCCCAAGGTCCACCCTTGGTCTGTCCAGTCAAGAAATTCTAATAGCCATAGAATTCTTGCCAAAAATTAGTCTTTTCTCCTAGACTAGGCATTGTATGACAATTCTATAAGACATCGACTTACACAAACACACACACACACACACACACACACATTCATCTGGGGAAATACCTAGAAAATGGGCTACATAAGCAAATTTATTCTAGAAAGTGCTCTTCTGGGCCAGGACGGAAGTGATGGCCATGGCTGTGGGAGTCTGGGGGTCATGGCTCTGGCACGCCATCCCCAGTGGTGGCGCTGGCTGGAGATGTATAGCAACATCCACAGCATCTCAGCTGTCACCGACCACACTGATAGAAATGCAGAACAATGTCTTCAATAAAGAGAAAGACAGGCAGTCATCACTAACTCCCCGGGCCGAGAAGATCGAGGTTAAACTCGTTGGGAAAACGGACCCTGGCACCACATTTGTGATGAATAAAAACGTGTCGACGCCCTACAGTTGTGACATGCATTTAAGTGAGTGGTACTGCAAGAAGTCCATTCTGGCTCTTGTGGATGAACAGCCGTGGGACATGTACAAGCCTTTGACCAAACCCTGTGAAATTCAGTTCCTTACTTTCAAAGATCCTGATCCAGGAGAAGTTAATAAGGCTTACTGGTGGTCTTGTGCCATGATGATGGGCTGTGTGATAGAGAGGGCATTCAAAGACGAATACTTGGTCAGTTTGGTCAGAGCTCCAGAAGTGCCTGTGATCGCTGGAGCCTTCTGCTATGATGTAGTTTTGGATAAGAGGCTTGATGAGTGGATGCCAACAAAAGAGAACCTACGTTCTTTCACAAAAGATGTTAATACTTTAATTTATAAAGACCTTTCATTTGAAACTCTGGAAGTTGATGCAAAAGTGGCATTAGAAATATTTCAACACAACAGGTATAAAGTAGATCTCATAGAAGAAAAAGCATCTCAGAATCTTGAGAGAATAGCCAAGCTGGGTTTTAGTTCTGTTCAACCCAGAGTTCTTAATGGTCTTCTCCCCAGCAGACCCGGGAGATAGGGGAAGGTAAAGGAATCAAGATTGGGCTTCTCTGCTCAAGGGTCTCAGTGAGTGGGAACAACTGCAGATTCAGCCACCCCCAGGTCAATGGGCAAGAAGGATGTCAGCAGCCAGCTCAAGGGTACTCATTGGCACATGTGCAGCTGCTCAAAATATTGTGTTAGAATACTTTGCTGGTCCAGGGATGAGCTTTCTGTAATACTTTCAACAATAAAGATAAATTTTTTAAAAAGTCGATGCCTACGGCACCTCCCAGCCCTCAGTCCCCATCAGTTCAGTGCACACTGCTCCCAAGGTCCCACTGCCAGCTCTGCACTCTCTGCCTGTGGGCTTTGGTGCTGAAGTCACTTTACACCACCCATGAGGGAGAAGAAATCAACCCATGACAGATGGGAATTGGTGGGTAAATTCCCAAGCTCCCTCACTCCTCAGGTAGATGGCTCTAGCCATGCTCTACACTGGCTCCCAGACACCCCCACCCACCC